TTCCCCGCAGTTTGGGGAATTCTTTTAAGGAACTAGTACACCCCCCGGTGTACTAAAGTTGCTGAGATGAAAAAATAGAGATGAATAATAATCGGTGTAACGTTGGGCTTTATATTGCAACCTCTACGTCAGGGTGTGAAAAACTATAGTGAAAACGTTTATTAACTGAACAGGTGTCATAAAACTACACAAACAGGGGTTAACTTAAAATTAGTTAATGTAACTGGGTGCCTCGCGGAATAGCGGCTATGCGCTCTCGCGGCTAGTTGTCCACTGTCGTTGGCGGGGTTCGCTTTCACTCCGTTAAGGGTGCGTCCGAGCAAGGACAATAAAGGACCCTTGCGCCACATCTGGGCCGCAGCTGGGCAGTGGTATGTCTCGCCGCCGTAAGGCATGCGCCCAAACCTAACTGTTAACCCTCGTGTTACATCGGTCAATTGTTTATCGACCTTATAGAATGTCTCACCATGAGCGTGAGAAAGTGTAAGGTTTGGGAAGTGAAGTGCTTGAGGCCGATATTATTAATCTTCTTCTCTCTCTCTCTCTCTCTCTCTCTCTCTCTCTCTCTCTCTCTCTCTCTCTCTGTTATGAAATTGGTTATTCTGGCGTAAAACCGGGTGAGAAGTAGATCGATTGTATTAAAAAAATTCCCAACGCTACAAAATGTTCATAATGTTAGACCGTTCGTTGGATTGGCAAGCTATTTCAGGAAATTGACTAAATATTTCGTATTTCTTAGGTTGTAGGTAATGATTGATCGGTATACAGAAGTTAGTAATACAATACCTCACGAGATTATTATTTCCTCACGAATTTGGGCAGTGAGATGGAATATGAATTTATTTGTGTAGAACGTTATTGTATGTTGTTGTATGTAATGTTATTAATGCTAAGTGCAGGCTCTTGATACAAGTTTTTTATTTATTTTATGAATTCCACTACAATACATTGTTTCTAATTGTTCTAGATGAGCTACCATATAAGTGGTGAACGGGATGCCTTTGGATAGAGAGGTAGCCGCATAAGTGGTGAGCGGACTATCTTCTACTTTGCAGGTTGAGTAGGGCTGCCGTATAAGTGGTGAACGGTATGCCTTCGAGTAGAGAGGTAGCCGCATAAGTGGTGAGCGGACTACCTTCTACTTTGCAGTTTGAGTTGGGCTACCGTATAAGTTGTGAACGGGATGCCTTTATGTAGGAGAAGGTTGCCGCATAAAGAGTGAGCGGACAATTTTTTACTTTGATGTATTGAATTATAAACTGATGTATGTGTAGTTCGATATATATATGTAAAGTTTGCGCTTATATGTTCTGTGGTTTGTGCCACTGGTCAAAATCCGATTGTTAGGATTTCCACCTGGAGTCGTGTGCGAGGACGCCCACGTCGTCAGGATGGTCGATTGTTAGGGTTCATTAATATTATGATTAGGGGATCGGACAACAATAAAGAAAAAATATAAAGTGTACATAAATAAAATCTACCTAATATTTAACGAATTTTCAACAAGATTTTTTTGAGAAATAACAAAATTTTATATTTTAAATCAAAAATCAAAATTTGATAATAATTATAACATTTTTAATCTGTTGTAGGTATACTTGTAACGAAACACCAATCACGTTGCGTGACGTCATACGTGGGTAACGATATCGATTAACGAACGTAAACTGACGTAAACAACAATACAGATTACAGGCGTCTTAAAGTTTTTAACCTTAATACAGCAGTAAATAGCTTCAATTGTTGTAATATAGCTAAATTACGACACAATAACTCCTAACGTGTTTGCATTAACCTATTTAAATATGGAGCCGGGGTATACAAAAGCAGACAGTCGAAATCTTCCCAGAGTGGATATTCTGATGATTGGGAACGTTTTCTCGAATAATTCTGATTTTTGTGCAGCTGAATTTAGAAATATTAAAACATCCGTGTAAGTACTGCTACTTAGTGTATTAAATTATCTATCCATCGTTAAATTGGTGACAGATATGTTTCTTGCGTGTGGTTTTATTTAAGATTGTGGTATGTTTCATTTCAGATCAGCGAGACAATCGTATGGCGACGATGCCATTGGATACGTACAAATTCGCCGTGAATAAAAGTACAGACATTACTGACTGACATCCCATCAAGATGTAAGATGTAAATTATATTTGAGGGGATGATTTCAACAATTTTCAACGGGTTAAATTTAAATAAATGATTAAGAATTTAGGTAAGCAGGTTTACCACTCTAAAATTACTTACTAGGAGAAGATGTAGTACTTTCTTCTTCTACAATATCAGCCTTTAATTTATTTTCTTCGAGGGCTTCTTGTATTGTTGCCAATCTTTGCCTTTTTATAGCATCGGGACAAGATGTTGTTGAAGGCAAACTCCTTTTTCTGTCAGTTTGGCAATCAAATTTAGATGGGAGGCATCCGGGTCTCATCATTACCTTATCTACAAAGCCCATTATGTGATATCGCATGTAGTTTACCATGTCATTCGGAAGCTAAAACAAAAGTAGAAATTAGCCCAATCAACATTATGTTTGTGAAAAAGTTAGTAGCACACTTTTTTAGTTTATTTGGATTTACCACAAATGTACTTACGTCAAAATGATCTTCACAAAAATAAATTGGAGATGTCATAGACATTCCATCGCATTTTCGTCTTGCAAGATCTAACCATTTCTTCCTCATGTCTGGTTTTCGTGGAACGTCAATAAATATTTTGCTTGGTGAATTTATTGACGTATTCCTGCATTGGGGAACCACACACCAACGATATTTTCTTGTATCCATATTACTGTATCGACAAAAACTTCATTTAAAACTTAAAAACTGCAGTTTGCACTTTGCACTGTTCATTTACCCACGTATGACGTCACGCACTCTAGTTTGACAGTTGGTGGTGTTTCGTGGGCAATTTTAAAATTAGTGTTTTTAAACACGTTTTTTTTATAATAATAAAGCAGTAAAGAAAAAAAAATTTTTTACGGATATAAATAACCACCAAGATTAGTTTAAAATAGTTTTTAATAAGTTGTCCGATCCCCTATTATTGAAGTTGTATTTTTATTGTCTATTAGACTAAACTTCTTTGTGATTGACCATAAACAAACATAAAAAAATAAAACGGACTTGGATTCTCAAAATGTCAACTGAAGACATCGAGAACGCGGGTTTTAAAAAAATAGAAAGGGTATGAATTCTCGAAACGTCATTTGACGATTTCGAGAAGGCGGGAAAACGAGAAGGATTTTGAACGGATGGCGTCATTCTAGAGGATATGTAATTTTTGTCTTATTTGTTCCAAATGTTTTTTGGAGTATAATAATATTCTGTAATAACGATATCAAGTGGTTTCCTTTATAATCTCCGTTTCTGGACTTCATAAACTGCAAGTAGTTGATGCAACGTCTCTGTCACGTTTATACTACTAAAAATTAAAAGTGTTGTGCGCTCTTTTTAATTATTATTTAAAAATGGCAATGTTTGACGTTGTCAGCTCTTTGGCAGGAATTATTAAACCAACTACGCGCGCTCAATTACTTCTTCAAGGCGTTGAGAGTTGCGAATAATAGTTCAATATGTTGAAAAGAGAGACACGTATCTTTCTCGTCCTACGAACTATATCTTTCATCTAGTTCACTAGTTCATCTAGTTCAATTAGGACCAGTATAAAGAGATACAGTCTGTATGAAACTGAACGAAAGATTAGTTGCTGCTTTCCTAATGAACTAGTTCATTTTTGTCTTTCGTTCGCGAACTACCCAAGTCTAAAGGCGTTATCATAATTGTTGTATTATGGCTGAAAGGCACTTCCTAGTTGAAGCTGCAATGCTGGAAGAACGCACAGAGCGGCAAAGAAACCGTCGCCGTCTCCGGCTCCAACTGGATGTCGAACATAAGAAGTAACAAATAAAAAGAAAACTAAGAAATTACAGACGGAAATTTTTCGAACAATTGTGCCAGGACGTCATTCCTATGCTACCTCGGAGGTGAGAAAACATGGGATTGAACCCACCCACAAAGTAAGTACATACCTATTGTCTATGTATAAATTGTTGACTTTGATTAAATACGTACCAAATACCTACTATAGTTCTACTGTTTCAATGTTAACCTGTTAACTTTTTTAGATACTGACTGCGTTGCAGTGTTTTGCCCGCGGCTGCTACCAAGGCTCTGTGGATCAGAATATGGTGGACACACCCATGGCCCAAAAAACCGTCTCACGATCCTTGCGTGAAGTAACATCAGCACTGAATGCACCCAATATACTCAGAAATTTTTTTATTTACTATTTGACAGGTCTGATATTGCATTTTGCGTTCCGTTCCGTTATTGTTTTACGTCGTAAATAAATACTGCAGTGAGGTAAATGCTAAACGTATGTGAAATCAATAAAGTAGGCTGTGTGGTTAATGGAAGTACTCTCCTCTGTTTGGCTGACATTGACAGACGCTGCTGTATAAAATATAGATGGTACTACAACTTCGTGTCCCTCTGTAAACCTGACATTAAAAAATCATAAGTTATAAATTAAATATATGCATCCTATTGGCATTGGCCATATGGGCATTTTCCACAAGTACACTCTAGCTAGCTATATATATCCCAATATTATGATTGTTATATTGTAACTGAATATATAGGTATATTATTCGCGTCCATCAGTCTTTACTCTGGCTTATTAGAATAATACATTTTTGACTTTATCAATTACATTTATTCACATAAAACATATATACATGAATTTAATCATTGTTACAAATATGTGAGTGAGGTTACCAGAGGCCCAATTACCACCCCTCCCTAGTCTCCCCAATCCCCGATTCCCCAACACTCCTCAAATTCTTATTCCCTCACTTGTAACGCCTCTGGTGGTGTGGGTGTTTATGGGCGGTGCCGACTGCTTACAATCAGGAGTACCGTCTGCTCGTTTACCGGCTTATCCCATAAAAAAGTTATATGTATTTAGGTGGTGAGTCCATTGAAAAATACAACATCTTAACTGACACCGTCTTCTGATTCTACAGTTTCTTTTTTGATATCTTCACTCACTATAAAAGTAGTTCTGTAAGAATAAAAATAAATTATGTCATCATCAGGAGGTGGACAGACGGCTAAGAACAAATTTATTTTACGTTTAAAGTAAACGTATCATAGTATGGGGCAACTCCGTAGACATTATTAAAGCATTCCGAGCCCAAAAGAAATGTAAGCGCTCCATGTGTAAAGTCGACCCACTACATAGCTGTGTTCCACTCTTTAAAAAGTTAAAAATTCTACCACTCCCATCTCTGTATATATTCGAACTGTGTATCTTTGTGCATAAAAATATAGGTTTATTTCAAACACATAATAATGTTGTAATAAGAAAAAGCAGACATACTCATAAGTTATGTGTACCATAACAAAGAATTCAACTTTTTTCTAATAATGTATACTGTATGGCAATTCGTATTTATAATAAATTACCAAATGGTTTTAAAAGCCTTAATCTTATAGAATTTAAAAAGAAGCTGTTTTGTTTTCTTTTGCATAAATGTTATTATTCAACAAATGATTTTTTGAATGAAAAATTTAACTCTGAATTCAACCTAGACGACTTTTTATTATCCTTTAAGTAAATTGTAAGAATAATATTAATTTTGTACCGAAAATAATGTTACTACATTGTGATAATTAATCGTCCATATTATCCAATTTTTTATTTTTGATTCTATGTTTTTACCTGTCTTGTTTTAATTTTAACTTTTAATATTTGTACGCTGGAAACAGCAGAATATTCAGAACATTAATTTATTTGTAACACCTTTGTAACAATATTCTAACAAATAAACGTATTATTATATTATTATTATTATATAACGAAATGAGACCGCGACCGGCGCTTTGATTGGCCGGACCCAATGAACCAACCAATCAAAGCTCAGAACGCGGTCTCGTTTTGTTCTTATTAAACGTAGAACAAACTCATACTAAGGATACTTGAGAAAATCCTAGACTAGGGTAAAGTACCCGAGCGTACGGCGCGTCGCGTTCCGCGCGCGCCTCAAAGAGCATCAGACCACCACAGATGGGGCTCAATAGGGCCGATGCCGATTCGGAGTCGCGGAGAACCTAACGGGTAACCGGGGCTCTGGCTCGACGTGCAGGAGAAGGAACGGGGTGGTTTTTAGTCAGTAAGAGTCTGACACTCCCTCCCGCCTCACCCAGGCGGGAGCAGTCATTCGATGATTTTCCCCCCTTAAAAAAAAAAAGACGGGTAAAGTAAAAAACACCAATGACTTACTGTTGTATGCAGGTCTCCGTCACATCAGGCTTGATGTCCTCGTCCTCCGAGGATAGGGGATCCTCCTCACTAGAATCATATTAATAAAAAGATATTATATTATTAGCTTCTCCCCGCGACTTCGTACGCGCAATACCGTTTTGTCCCGTCCCCGTAGGATTTTAAGGATTTTTTCTGTCTTAAGAACCTTCTCCTAACAATAACAAATATAACAAAAAAATAATTACTGAATAGGTCCAGTCATTCACGCGTGATGCCGTGACCAAGGGAAAAGGTGTCGTAGGTGCTTTTATAAACATACAAGGTCCCACACACATCACATCCAGACCCAAAACAAGTATCTGTGGATTACACAAAATTTTGCTCCGTGCGGGAATGGAACCCGTTACGCGGCAGCCAGTTGCCCAGCCACCACGTCAAACATGCATTCAGAGTCAGATGCCGACACACTCTTTAAGTACCGTCATTATAGACACAATTAAAGAACAATAGGTCGCGGTCACCGGTGACCGCTCGGTGTTTGACAGTCTAAGTTACAAGTGCTCAATTCAAGCATGTTTTCTTGATTGAAATTAGCATGTGGAACAATACATTTGCGTAAGAAACTCACCTGTCTTCATCATATTCGCCCGGCTGTACTTCCACTTCTACATACAGAGTCTGAGATTCTTCACCATGGTCTTGGTTTCTATAATAAATAAGTAATCATAATCATGTATTTATTTATGTAAAATAGGTAGTATTACATGGATGTTCATAAGTTAAAAACAGGTTTAGTTACACTATGTTTCGTCTTGCTTGGCGTACAAATATTAGTATACCATAGATAATTGAATTAATACAAAGAAAACGAAAGTTATTTAACCCCTCGAGCGTCCTTATGAACACCCGGTGGATCATAAGAAAAATGTTCTAAATGTCACGTTGGATCATAAGGAACGCGGACGCTCGACGGGTTAAAGTCAAGAATGTCAATTTAAAAATTAAGGTCATATGAAATTAAAATATAACAACATCATCCTTGATTTTCTAGATTATATTTATAGTACTTCTGAAGTGGCCTACATGTAGCCCGGAAACACAACCCGTGGTGCAAGAATCTGCTGGAGTGGAGACCGTGGGAACACAAACGACCAGGGGGCTTACTCTTGAATCCAATTCCAATCGATCGACATTGACATTGTGAAATTTCGTACTCTTGAGTTGTAACACTAGCGTCTTTTGCATCGGTATTGCGTGGATATTTCATGAACTAAATGGTATTGACTTTAGCTTTATATTCCGTAATCTAAATGCTACTTTAGCAGCTACGATAGGGATTGTATAGTTTTGACATTGGATAATTATTGAGATATTATTGGATTGAAATTGTATTGACATTGAGATTGGTTACAAGAGTAAGCATCCTGGGCGCTTACTCTTGAAACCAATCTCAATGTCAATGCAATTTCAATCCAATAAAATCTCAATAATTATTCAATGTCTAAACTATAGAACCCCTATCGTAACAGTTAAAATAGCATTCAGAGTACGGAATATAAGCCACCGTAAGCGCGGGCTTGCGGGCGGCGAGCATGGGTGGCTCGCCGCCCGACCAGAACCAGATTCGAGCGTGCGGCGCCGAGCATTCCGCGCGCGCCTCAAAGAGCCATCAGACCACCACGGATGGGGCCCAGGCAATAGGGCTGATGCCGATACGGAGTCGCGGAGAAACAAACGGGGTGGTTTTTAGTCAGTAAGAGTCTGACACTCCCTCCCGCCGCCGTCGCACTCACTGCCGCCTGGGTGAGATTTCCCCCCCTTAAAAAAAAGCCAAAATCAATACCATTGAGTTCATTCAATATCCACGTAATATAGATGCAATGGGCGCTAGTGTTAAAACTCTTGAGTACGATATTTCACAATATCAATATCAATCGATCGGAATTGGATTCAAGACCCCTGTTGCATATGAGATGGAAAGATGACATCAAGGAGGTAGCAGGACAAAATTGGATACTAACAGCCTAAAATAGAAACTAAGTGGAAAGATTTGAAGGAGTCCTACACCAGATAGGGTAAAGGTACAAGTCAATTTCCAAATTTAACGTTCGTTTGGTAGATTATTTCAGATTATTTAATCGACAGGTGGCGCTGTCTGTATAAACACCTAAAACTATAACTCTCTTCTTTAAAATTAAGTTTAAATTATTTATCAACCATTACGAGATATAGTAACGGATAAAAAGTGTGTGTTAATATATAAACTATATGTGTTAGTGATATTTGCAAAAACTAAGTGCGTTAGCGCATACAAATAAGTGTAATGTAAAATTGATAAACCTACTTAACTCGTCATACATACCAATAGTAAATACGAAATCCTTACGAACATTTAAAATAATATCAACAGTGGAACAAAGTACCTATCTAATTAAATGGAGATACGCTGAACTACTTAGATAGCAAAGAATTCTTGTTTTAATTATAGTGCAAGTGAAACAGTATTGTATATTAACTTGGTGCAAATATTTTAATGCTATGTACTGTCTACCTCACATTACTTTATGAATGGAGCCATTGCACTGAGAACCGCAATTTCGACGTGTTATATACACACTCCGTGGCTCGTTGGTATTCCGTACGGATCGCAGATCGTTGGAAGGTCCCCGAGTTCGATTCTAGCTAGCGGGTTGTCTTTTTGTGGTTTCTAAAGATTTATTTACTTGTAAAAATACTAACATTATAGTTATTAGAAATGGATTCGGATAACGTAACTTTGCGAAAAAATCGCCGTTCTATTTCTATGCAAAATATCACTGGATCATCCTCACTATTTGATACTACAATGATAAGCTTGCCAAACACGTCACTAGATGGCGGCTGTTGCATAGAACTACGGGAACAAATAGGTGAACTTAAAATGAGTTTATTGTCAGCCAACAATGAGATAGACAACATGCATTTGGAAATCAACAATCTAAAAAAAGACCTCGCTAAGTGTTATGGAGTAATAGAAATATATAAAAAAATGGATTTTACGGAAAAAACAAAAGGTGTTATGTCAGCTCAAAAACAGAAGAGGTATCAACTTTATGATGTAAATAGATATGATGTTACTTCACCAACACCTTCATCCAACATACGAAATGGTGATCTTACAATGAATACAATAGATCAATCAGGTTACGATACAACGGAACAAAATGCTAATGCTATCATTGATACGGGTTCCATCGACTCAAATATTTCATGCAGTGTTGAGTTGAATGATCGGGAGACAGTAACAACGGAAAAAGAACTACCAATGGACAGTGTCAACGAGAATGTTTGCGTTACTATGACAACTACTGCACAGCACGTAACAACAGATATAAGTGATCGGCCTCAGAACTTACAAAATCCAGTTTTGCCTACAAGGAGAAACAAAGTTATAGTTATTGCTGATGAACAAGGCCGTCATTTCAACATGTTTTTCAAGGTCTGGTAGGGTCAGAATTTTCTGTGAGCTGTTTTTGGAAACCTGGAGCTACATTAGCCGAAGTTTTACTAACGGAAAGGAGTGAATTGAAAACACTGTCTGGATATTTGTTATTGTATTAGCAGGGACAAATGACAGAAATCCTTATAACTTTCAATTTGAATTGCAAGCATTTTTAAAAGAACTCGAAAATACAAATATTATAATTACAAATGTTCCATACAATAAATATTTGAATGCTAAGAAAATTAATTACGAATTAAGATTTTTATGTAATAGGAATGGCAAAAATAATAGTTTTGTAAATATTAATTATTTTGACTACAAGCCCGGACGTGACTCTTTTCTACTCTGTAAGTGCCGGTCTATATTAAAAGAACTCCTGCGTATTAATTATAAAACAAAATATGAAGAATATCTTGGTAAGTTGAATTGTTCGAAGTATTGTCCGAGTGCCGTAGATAAATGTACTCAAACTGATTCAGAGTTTAACTGTGAGTCGGAAGTGATTGAGAATCCTACAAAATGTTTTCGTGTACAATAAGGTATGTGTTCTGCATCAAAATGTAAATGGATTATTGACTAAGTCTGATTTGTTAGTGTTGGCTTTGGATACATACCAGAAAGACACCTCTTTGTCTATTGATGTCCTTTGTATTACTGAACACAATATGACAATTGATGACCTACAGATCCTTTCTGTTCACAATTTCATTCTTGGTTCTTGTTTTTCTCGTAAAAATCGCCATGGAGGTGCGTGTGTCTTAGTGCGAAAACGCATAGATTTAAAGAAATTTCTGACATTAAAAAGTATTCCAAAGAAGGTATTATAGAATGCTCTGGTGTTGAATTGTTGAATCATGGCATTTATATAGTATGCATATATCGTCCTCCTAAATGTACTAATCCCGACTTAGACATATTTTTCAAAACATTAGAAATATTACTCACTCTATCCTACAAGAAAAATAAAATAATAATTTGTGGTGACTTCAATATTAATATTTTGAAACCGTCAAGAAGTACCGATAGATTGAAAGAAATGCTATCTGTTTTTAATCTGCGTTTGCAAATTAAAGAACCAACACGTCTTAAATCAGGTACATGTTTGGATAATTTTATTGATAACATACGAGGTAGCACATGTAAAGTTGTGGAATTTGCTATTTCTGACCATACAGCACAAGTTCTGACGTGCCCAGTTAAACCAAGTAGCAGTCTAAAATATTGGTATGTAGAAAAACGGGACTTTAATAAGCAAAATATTGACAAATTTAAACAATCTATATCATCTTTGACATTTTGTGATATTTTTAATTGTGACAATCCTAATACTGCATTTGACATTTTTCATGATTTATTTTCCTTATTTTTTCAATTGTGTTTTCCCTTAATTGTTAAAAAAATACGAGCTGAAAAACGACCTACATGGATTACCTCAGGTATAAGAAAGTGTTGTAAACGCAAACGGCAACTCTTATGGCAATATAGGAAAAATCGTACCGAAATAAATAAAAGTAATTTTAAAGCTCTTTCGTCTAGACTTAAACGTGTTATCAATCTCACACAAAAATCCCAAAATGATAATTATATTAACACTGCAGTTAATAAGGGTAGGGCTACTTGGCAAATAATAAATTATATTAAACACAATTTACCTAAGGCCGAAATAGAGGAATTGGATGTAAATGGTAAAATTATTAGTGACCCGCACAATTAGCCGAATCTTTTAATGACTTCTTTATTGACCAAATATCAACAAATACATTGAATGCTAAGCCGGGCAACCATCTTGGACCGGTCAATTCCATTTTTATTGCACCCACAACCCAGCTGACATAGAAAGCATAATAGGCAGTCTGAAAAACACGTTGAGTACTGGTTATGACGATATAACAACAAGCGCCTTAAAGCATGCGGCAAATAGTATATCCCCGGTATTAAGTCACATAATTAATCTATGTATATTAAATGGAATTTTCCCAGAAAAACTAAAACAAACAATTATAAAACCATTGTTTAAGAAAGGAAACTTAAAGGACATGTCATGTTACCGACCCATTGCACTTGTTCCAGTCCTATCTAAAATATTTGAGAAGGTTATATATAACAATTTGTATTCCTTTTTTGAGTGTTACAACCTATTTGCTGAAGAACAAGTTGGTTTTAGGAAAAAAAAAAATATTAGTCTTGCTATTTACAGGCTTCTTAGAATAGTTATGACAAATGTGGATAAGGGGATCCCAACATGTGCTTTATACATGGATCTCACTAAAGCCTTTGATCACGTAGATCATACTCTCCTCTTGAAGAAGCTTAATGCATATGGTGTTAGAGGAACTGCTCTGGATTTAATTAAATCATATCTATCTAACCGAAGTCAATCTACAGTAGTTACGACAATTTGTAAAAATAAAAAAAAACAAATAAAATACATGTCGAAATTTAGAAAAATAAACGTCGGTGTACCTCAGGGTAGTGTGTTGGGGCCTTTATTATTCATATATATAAATGATTTCCCGAATATTACCCAGCATCCAACAATATTATTTGCTGATGATAGTACAGTCCTTTTCCAAGGACAAAATCAAAACCTTCTGGAAGAGGATATAAACAACATGTTAATTACTATTGTTGACTGGTTGACAAGTAACAATCTAAAGATAAATTTGACTAAGACTAATATAATGACATTTAGAAATAGAAAGGAATTAATAACTAATGTTCTAATTAATTATTCAGGACACAAAATACAAGAGGTACAGTGCACAAAATTTCTAGGACTGCATATAGAGAGCAACTTAAAGTGGCGATTCATAGTGAATATATAAGCTCCAAAATTAATCAGTTCTCGTATGCACTATTCAAGCTATCTAAGGTTGCTAATGCCGGAACACTTATAACTGCATACCACGGACACGTTGTTTCTCTTTCTTCGGTATGGGATAATCTTTGGGGCAACTCAACTTGCAAAGAAATGATATTCATATCTCAAAAGAGGTGTGTCAGGGCTATTTGCAAACTAAGCCAGACCGACAGCTGTAGACCGTACTTTATTAATTTAAATATTTTGACGGTACCATGTATCTACATGTACGAAGTGTTAGTATTTGTAAAGAATAATATTAATCTGTTTGACAAAATGAAAAGTAAACGCTATAATAATCACATATGTTTCCCGAGTAATAGAACGCATTTTCTTAATAATAGCGTTTTTTGTATGGCCCCAAGATTATACAACCATTTGCCAAACGAATTGCTACATATACAATCTTTGAAGGTTTTTAAAAATAGAATAAAAAGGTTTTTAATCTCTAAGGCATATTATAGTGTTACTGAGTACTTAGACGACAAAATATGATGTATTTTTATTTTATTTTGTTTAATAATTTTTATCTTGTTTTTATTTAACTATTGACATTCTGATTGTTTAATATTGTGACATTTAAATTTTTAATCCTATGTGACCTAATAATTAATAATTCTAATGACATTAAGTAATAATAATCAATCCAAATCTTTGTTTCCAACTATATTCTAATTTTGTATGCTGAAAAAGCCAACATAGCGTTTAAAATTGTTATTTAAGACCCTAATGTTACCTATGTTCACAATTGAATAAATGAATTTGAATTTGAATTTGAAAATTCATTACACACGTATTTTTTTTTTCTTACAGAAACGAATACTTTTGACGATATATTGATTTGAAATGTCGCGTGACGTCACTTCTATGTACATTTTATACGTAAAAATGACGTTTTAGCCCGCACTCCTAAACTTTGAGTTTAGGAGTTTCGTTTTATCTAAGTATTGTTTTGTTATACAACAAAATAAAAAATACGTGTCTAATATTATTTCATTTGCCTAACTTACGGACTAATCATATTTTTGGTTTTCATAACCTGTAATCATCCGAATTGGTTGAAAAAGGCTTGAGATGATGATGATGATAATGATTTTGAAGTAAAACATACTAGATTAATTGTTATATTTACGACTTCATTATTATGTTTTTCGTCTTACTCACGCAATTATTTGACGAGGAACTCGACTTGTTTCAAGCCATGCTAGAGGCTCATATTCAATGGCAGCATTCCGCGACCTGCGACAATAATTAATTTAGTATGTTCACGAAAGTTATAACATAAATATAAACAAAGAAAAAATGGAGAAAAAAAATTAAAAGTTACCTTAGCCGACGAGCATGCATGAAAAGATTGATGACTGTTAATGAAGCGAAAGAGGTATGTAAGAATCGTAGTAATTGGCGTTCCTTCCCTACCCCCATGGGAGACAGGCGTGAAGTTATGTATGTATGTATGTAAAAAATGGAGATCGCTGAGCGATGTCCGTTACTCCAGCATCAGATCACGAATATGAATTCCGATGTAGGTGAGTAAACTATTTCCTCTATTGGGGCTTTCCTCTATTAGTTCACATGAGTAAACTGAATACTTTAATCAAACAAGTTCATATTACTGTCATGTAAATCAACTGAACTGATCCAATACAATACCAACATTTATTTACAAAAAAGTGACGTCATAACTACAGTATAATGGCGACTAACGTTTTAATAGTAAAAGCGAAAAAACTGTGGAAACAATAAATAAATTAGCTATTTTTTAGTTCAGTTTTGGTCTACCTATGGATCAGTGAAATTATTATATTACACATTAAAATATTTTACTATAATATTATAAGTTTGAATACTTTGTTGTGTGTATAGCTCGCATACTGAAAGGCTACTACATTTTAACTTGTACTTAAATATCGTGCCATCTCTGTCATTGTACATAGAGTTTGTAGTGACAGAACTATATTTAATGCTCGGGCCACACTAACGTCAACGTCAAAGCCGATGATCGCGATGTTTACTACGATAATTATTGCTATAATTTTAACGCGATAAAGTGGGTGGCTTGACACTTGAAAATTCAGCTTGAATGCCCATCATGCCAAACGGCAATGTGAATGCCGTTGTCAAATTATCGCGTTGACCCGTGGCTACACCTACGGTGAACGTGCATTATCGCGATAAGCAATGGCATTTCTCGTTGGTGTGACCCGGGCATAAGAGCGACTTAAGTGGCGTTTGAGTATTTCGACATACTACGTTGAAATACTCAAACGTCGTAATATTATTATGTTTGTTACTCAATCAAGTCATTAACAGCTAAAGGGATAAACATAAAATTTGAAACCGAGGTAGATAATGGTTTGGATTAACACATAGGTTACTTTTTACCGCATGAGAACGCGAGCAAGGCCGCGGGTATTAGCTAGTTGTTCATAGATTAACACGTACTGTATTCTTCGACGTTTATGAGACGGTCCATATGGTGTGTCCGAGTCTGCATTCTGCGACCAGTGTATTCTAAGTGCGCACTCCACGTCGGCCTCGTTGGCGCCGGTGCACTGAGCCGTGCGCTGTCGGAGCTGTGCGCGCGTCAACTCCGGACACTCATTAGCGAAGTACTGGTATGCGTTCACTAGCACTGCGTTTGTTTTTTCCTAAAAGAACACAGTTGTTCGTGTAGTAACAATCACCCTATATTTTCAAAGTCAAAATCAGTAATTTTAGTTTGATCAGGAAAGCACTTTTGAACGTCAACAAAAATTTAAAAGTGAAGGTATTCGCTCATTCCAAGGTGTAGATTCTTATGGAGAGCAGAGAGCTTTAAATAACTTTTTTAAAACAAGTTTTTATTCAGCTTTGCATTGATGGTCATGCAAACTGAACAACTAGGTATACAAAATGTTATGATATCTATAGGAACCTTCAACTTAAGAAGAATACTTCAAGCGATCTTCTTCAGATTCTATTTCATTCACATCAAAGTCCACGATCAAATGGCACCAGGTGATCGGCAAAGTTTCTACAGTTCCAAGGCGGATAGTTTTTGAATTACAATTACTTATGTGTTATCTACGAAAATTTTATTGTGAATACTTAGTTCACGAAAAACGACATTCTATTTTGAACTAAAGCAGTTGGCTCAGATTTTATGATTCAATAATACTGGAGCATTATTCAGGATGACGTGTGCAAAATACAGACGAAAAAATAAAGAATTGTAGCAACAAGAGCCAAAAGACTAAAAAAGGGTGTAATTTTTCGTGGATAACTCATTGTCATTTAAAACTATTTGTCTTGGATTTTTTCTTATAGCTGTTGGAATTTTGCCCGTCATCTGGTGCCATTTGATCGTCGACTTCAGAGACACCTGTATATACTTTGGACCGATGCGATTTTTTAGGGAATTGGGAAGTCATAAGCTGCCTCTACCCATAAAACCTTCGTCCCGAATGTCACGGTTGGTCACATATTATGTTTTTTTTATTGAAATGAAAAATGTACCCAAAATGTTTCTTAAACTGTCAAACACCAAGCGGTCACCGGTGACCGCGACCTATTGTTCTTTAATTGTGTCTATAAAACCGGTACTCGACGAGTTAATAACAGTTTTGTTTAGTTCTAGTGGCCCAATTTACATTTTGTTGTATACTCCAGTATGTAAGTCTATTAAACTAAATTAATATTTTTTAAACAATAGGTTTTCAAAAATATATACAAGCTTTAAAAATCGTCAGTGCAATTTGAGACAAAGGGTTTATGGGTAAAGACCTTCCTAATCCCTGATAAATTTGTGTAAGTACTTGCGCCAAACACCTGTATAGGTAATAGAATAAAGGACATCCCACATTTAAAAAGCACCGCTCCAACCCAGCCATTAAATTGTCATTTCAATATGAACTTTAAATCGTATGTCGTATGATACATTTCGTAACGTTAATACAAAAGCCGACGGGCGGGTGGTCAGCGCGCGGTCCACTCGGGGTGTAGTCGAGGCGTCCGCGCGGCGTCGACGCGGCGTCAGCGAGCCGGCCACCAGCGAAACAACGTCGCATCGTAGGTATGTATTGTAATGCTACATTTACACTATCGCGTGAGATGACACGAGGTTGAGGTACATTGCAGTCTTATAATGCGAGAAAGACTACAATGTATTTCGGCCTCGTTTCGACTCACGCGAGAGTGTAAATGTAGCATAAAAAGCGCGTGTTCATCGCGCAGGCGCCGCGCCGACCGCTAGTTGGAAGCGCGCGGTCTCCGCGCCGACGTCGCGCCGAAGCCGTGATTTTTAAATGTGGGATGACCTTAAATTAAAACTAAAGCTTGTCATATCTTACTTTCTGTTTATCTTCGACATTTATATCCGTGCTACATTCAGGACAGACAACCGTTCTATTATTTCTTCTTATTGCCGACTCACGAGTCTGAAACAAATAAACATAAATGTTATTATTAACATAACAGTAATGTGAGCTGTGAACATAATTGTAATTTTATTTTATTTATTCAAATAGGTATACCAACAGCTTCTGTATACATAGCATTAAGTGATTTGAAAGTAACATTAAGTATTTAGGCTTATACAGTCGCCAATTATAGGTTAACCAACATGCAATTACTTAAGTGATAAAAAAAATTGTAATGTATAGTCGTTATAAATAAACAAACACACCACTCCAGGAGCACTTGTTATATCTGATATTTAGTACACATTCTTAATCATGATGACCATAGAATATTATCCAATTTTTTCCAATACAACCTCCATTATGGATATCAAATGTAAAGGCTTGATTTGTGTTTATATTTATTATAAATGCGGCAGTTCAGCTAAGCTAGTAGAAAATCTTAATTACTAGCTTTTACCCGTGGCTTCACTTGCGTCACAAAAGAATAAAAAGTAGCTTATGTGACTATCCATTCATTCAACTACCTACAGTTAACCCATTAAAGTTCAAATAAAAAGTACCAATATTTTTTTTAATTTTGTTTATTTTCGTAATCAACTGAGAGTATAAGAACAGTAAATGAGAGAAAAAAATGGAAAATAGTATTTTTCATGATAATTCAGGGGTGTACTCAATTGAGTACACTGACCACCTAAGTATGAAAATTTTCAAAATACGATATTTCTACACAAAGTGGTTTAGCACTTTTTACATTGCTAACGTAGGTACTCTTGAATGACAAAGGACACATCGTAGTTGCTTTTAAATTTTTAGTGGATAGTGTCCAACATAATTTTGCAGGAGGGAGCAAATTTCCGCCACATAGGGTTTGATTTTGAAGTAGAATGGCGGGCAATGTAAATAATGTAAAAAAAATATCGCACTACCCTCATATAATTTATCAATATAGTTAGACAATTTTATAATGAATTAAGATAATAGGGTTACCCTACAAAAATATAAGAGATATTAAGTTTAAGCATAGAATAACTTCTAATGGGTAAAAAAATCATGTTAAATAGTACCTTAAGTCTTTGCTGGCGCTGAGATGGTAGCTCAGCAGCTCTCGTAGGAGCCTGACGCTCTGCTTGATTGCTCTTTATTAGAGATGTTTTTTGAGCTCGGGCAATTTTCATTGAACGAGCTTTGTTTGTGAGGTTCGACAAATTAGATTTACGTTTGCGAGGCATTGTGGAAATATAAGTAAAACTAAAAACTGTCCACTTAAAGTATACACTCACTATTACGCTACTAACTACTTTACTACTTTTTGTTCTATTTACTAGTGAAAAATCATCCAATGACTGCTCCCGTCTTGGGTAAGGTGAATGTCAGGCTCTTACTGTTCAAACACTAACACTAACATTATGGTCGCAAGTGCGACTGCCGGGTAGGGGGTCTCGGCTTAGATTCAGGTCGGAAAAATTTTAAAAGGTTTTTTAAAAATCTTAGCAGTAGCCAGAGTCTGGAAATGTGACCGGTATATGGCAATAAGCCCACCTCCTATTACATGGAAGTCATTACATAAATAGTGAAAAGTGGGTATTACGTTGTACCTACAGTGGCAATAAGTGCCGTAATGAGCACCTCTATCTACTTGGAGATAAAAGGCGTGAATTAAGTCTGTATCGTGTTTGACGTAAAATGTAATGTCTATGCAGCTGTCAGTGTCAGTATCACATACGATATCAATGTAAACAATAATGTAATATTTATGTAATTCAATACATTTCTAATCTTATCTTTGGAACTCCAATAACAATAATGTTGCTTTAAGTTTATGAATTATAAGATAATGTGATCACCATTAAAGTGAGTCGTATATAATGATTAAACGCAACATCCACTTTGATTGTGTGAAACAGTGAAAGTAACAATAAACACAGGTAAACACACCTTCTTCCGTGCAAGTGTCCACGCGTATATTAGTAATAAATCGTCAATATCAGAATCACTAGAGTCACTGAACATATTTCTTAGTATAAGTTATAATTGATAATTTGTTTCCAACACTAATTTCTGACACCGAAATCCGAATAAGCGAAGAAATAAAGACATGGACAAGGAGAAAAATAAGACCACAGATTATAAAGTTACCTTCATAAAGTAGACACGCTAAAAACTTTTGGTTTTGGCAATATTGCATACAGTGACATCTATTTGTTGTTTCTCATACCATTTTCAATGTAATCCTATTATCTCAGACAAAGTGGAAGAGTTGTCGCGGAGAACCTAACGGGTAACCGGGGCTCCGGCTCGACGTGCAGGAGAAGGAACGGGGTGCTTTTTAGTCAGTAAGAGTCTGACACTCCCTCCCGCCTCACCCAGGCGGGAGCAGTCATTCGATGATTTTCCCCCCTTAAAAAAAAAGCGGCTTTTGCTTTTTGTTTGTTTGTTTGAACGCGCTAATCTCCGTAACTACAAGTCTGATTTGAATAATTATTTTTGTGTTGGATAGCGCACTTATCGAGGAGCACCAATAGGAGCTGAGCACAGCGTGTGAAACCGCGCGGAAGTAGCTAGTTTATTTATATTTGTAATCATTATTTGTACTAACACTAGTTTTATAAGTAGTTTGTTAATTAACCAAATGGATTTAAGTTGTCCGAAATAAATAAATTAATCAAAATTAAATCACATTAGAATTGTATAGTCATATACAAAACTATAATAATTCAATCTGTTTCGATCTGCAGGCTTACTCTTGAAACTTATCTTAACGTATAGGTATTTCAGGCTTTTTTTTATTGCATTTGCCGGTAAACGAGCAGACGGATCACCTGATGGTTAACAATTGGCGTCGTCCATGTACACCTGGAACACCAGAGGCATTAAAAGTGCGTTACCGGCCTTTTGGGGATTAGGAGTTTGAGGATCGTTGGGGATTCAGGGATTGGGGAGATTGGGGAAGGGGAGGGTAATTGGGCCTCCGGTAACCTCACTCACAGGACGAAACACAATGCAAGCATTGCTTCACGTCTGTTTTCTGAGAGGCCGTGGTATCACTCCGGTCGAGCCGGCCCATTCGTGCCGAAGCATGGCTCTCCCGCAAAACGACTGCTTCAGGCAATCTAATAAAATCTCAATAATTATTCAATATCAACACAATACAAGCAAGCAATATTACTATTGCAATCGTAACTGTGAGAATAGCGTCTAATGAACGGATTGTAACTATTATAGGTCAAACTCAATATTGTTTTGTCAATTAAATAATCCTTACAAAATGTCAATTAAATTGTACAACAGACTTCCCACGGTTATAAAAATAAAACAAGTTTAATAATTTGCAAGAAAACTACAACAATTCTTACTTGATAAAACATACTACTCAGTGTATGTGGTTGAGAAGTCTATCATAAATACCTTGATGATAGACTTCTCAACCAATATTTATATACTAGCTACTTGCGTGCGGTTTCACACGCTCTGCTCAGCTCCTATTGGTCATAGCGTGATGTTTTATAGCCTATAGCCATCCTCGATAAATGCGCTATCCAACACAAAAAGAATTATTCAAATCAGACTTGCAGTTACGGAGATTAGTAAGGATGAATCATTTTCCATTATCTTATAAAAATAATTATTCAAATCAGACTTGCAGTTACGCAGATTAGCGCGTTCAAACAAACAAACAAAAGAACAAACTCTTCCGCTTTATATAATAGTATAAGATATAAGATAATATAATCTTATAGGATAGTAATAAAAGCTCCGACAAGAAAAGAAGAATTGTCCTTACTGAAAATATTAAATCTATTTCCTAAAATACCAACTTTCCGACTACTTTTGTCCGAACTGCTCCGACAAGAAAAGAAGAATTGTCCTTACTGAAAACATTAAATCTTCTGCCTAAAATACTTACTTTCCGACTACTTTACATGACTGTTTATTGCTACAATATTAATCTAACCTAACCGAATCTAACCTAAAACATCTGTTGTCGGTAACTTAGTAATTTTGTCAGAGGTTCAATATTATATTTGGAAGTTTAGTTTAGTTATTCAAAGATCAATTTTTATAGTCGGCCACAGATCGCTGGAGATTAATTTGTTTTTCGGAACCATTATTATTTTCCAATCATAGATAAAAGAAAGACTGGTTCGTTCCAACACTTATAACTCGGAATCAGCTAGACCAAATTTCATGGTTTTTGGTCCTTTGGATTTGACCCCGCCCGGAATAGTAGAATACATCTTAAAAATAATGAATTCGACGAGAACATAATTATAAAAGATGAATCATTTTCCCATAATGTTACTAAACATAAGGTAACTATAGGTACTAGCTTCTGCCTTCATGGTTTCGCTCGCGCTCTTTTAACGTTTTGAGGGCAGGTTTACAAAAGATAAAGAAATTTGGTGACCGATGTTTTGTTGGTTACAAATGTGATACCAATATTAGATTTCTTGAAAATTACGAAATTCTCCATACAAACTTCCACCTCCTGTTTTAGGGAAGTGATGGATTAGAAATAAAGAAAATGTAGCCTATCGTCGGTGCGCCTGCCAAAACTGATATGTGCAAATATTTAGTTTTTTTTTCTTAGCAAGATGTCCTTCAAATCGGATAGCGCATCGATTACAAAAACAAATATGTGTTATTTCCCTCTAGAAATCGATTAGACCAATCTTATATGTGCACTTCTGGCCGTGACAAATTGGTTATGTGTTCGATTGGTTACGGGTTATGTGACAAAAAAACCCACATATCAGAAGTTGCAGCATCACATAGATAGTTTGGCAGATTGAATATCAACAGTTTTTGTTTAAAATTTTTACCGTTTTCTAAGATAAATCTGATATGTGCACCAAAATGGAAAATAAAATTATTGGGGATGAACAGTATACATGTTACTTGGTACACTTTCATCTTAGTTATTTTTATCATAATTTTTGCCATCACACTGCATTTTCAATTTATTGCTAAGTCCTTCAGTGTAAGTGTATAAAATAGTTTATTGTCTCCCCCTGAAAACTTGACAAAATGCACATAACAGTTTTGGCAGGCGCACCGACGCTATGCGACTTTTAACCCCTTCAACATGGACGCAGCTGTGTCAATGATACAAACCTTTTTATGAGAGGCGTCATTGCTATCAACTACCAAAGATGGTGAAACGTCTGAATTTCTGAAAAAAGTATGTCATTGAAAATTAATTTTATAGCAATTGAGCTAATAATATATAAAACTTATGTATGAATATTATTACTTCCTACATTTATAAAATTTAAGAAATATCTACAATGAAAACCTTAATATGTATCCTTACTTTGTTGAAGTCATTGATACATCATTTGATTGTAATTCGTCATATGTACTTGCTGAAATGTCACTATAGTTTTCATCAATACAATCTTGTAGAGATGACTCAGGTATAGAAAGCTCAGGTGGGATATCCATTAATGGTTTTGAAGTTTCTGTAATAAAAAAATAATATAAAACATCTTTATCAAACGATTTTCTTTAAATTGTTAAAAAAAAAATTCGTTCAATTATCACCTATTGCTTTAGTCAAATGTAAAGATGGAACACAATCAGGTTTGAGTATTTCTCTGTTGTTGACTAATCCATACCGAAAACAACACTTCTCGAAGTGAATTGAACAGACTGATGTCCGTTTACCTATATTCACACCACTTTTTCCAATAATGCTTAGCCATTTTTGTTTTTCTGATTCTTTCGACGGAAATCTAAAATAAATGAGAAATATATACATATTCAAAAAGTTTTTTATAGACAGTGTATTAATATAATTAATAAAATAATTTGTAATAAATGTACATAACCTTATACTGACATGTTTATATACATACTTGTGAAAAGATCTTCGCGGTTCTTTATCAGCTCTCCATTTGCATATAAAACAATATTGAACCATTTTTCATATGTTTTTATTTTCACAATACTTAAATTTAATACAAAAATTAATCTAATAAATAAATGCAATGTAAGTACGTTACAATACAGAGTAACGTGATGAACTGTGGAGTGATGCGATGCCAGCGCTTATAATAGAAATAAATTTATATACCGTGCTTGTCATGAAAACTGAGCGCCAATCATCTATGAGGAAAGAGATAGCGCTAGACCGAAAGCATAGGCCATCTCTCTCACTCCTTTCAAACCAAAAAATTACTGCAGATTATACGCGTACAGCGTACGGCATGTCGTCAGTACGATAAGTCGATGGTTCTATACCGGAAATCCCACGTATCAGGAACTACGTTAATATTTTTTAATTATCTAATTTAATTTTTAATATATTATAGTGTTAGAAGCATAGACAAAAAGGAACGAAATGTCATCGCGTAGCGGGAAAATATAATCTGTGGTTCGAACAATGAAAAAGTCAAGATGGCGGGAACTCGAAAATTATTGAGACGGCGTATTTGGTGTTGAGGGAATTTTATTCTATTTGAAAGTCAATTTGCCTATTCATGTGTTATTGTTGTTGTTTTTCTTTCCAATTAATAGTTATGGTTTAGCTAGTTCTGAATTTGTAATTTGATTTCGATGTTAACAATATAAGGTGAATTCATGAATTGTAATGGTGGTACTCTTTATTTCTCCTGCCTCCTGAGTTTCTAAAATCCAATGTGGTATAAAACAAATAAGTTACTAATATCAAAGAGTAAGGTGAACTCTATGACAGTTTTTAAGTTTCCTAATATCAGAAGTGGGATACGATTATTTTCCATGCGTTCTGATCTTGTAGTAGATTACTTACATGATACGGCAAATTGACTATTCAAAGTTTTTCATATGTTTTATGTAAGTTCGTGTTCATGTACTTAGTAGGTACGTTGTGATCGAGGTATTGTGGTAACGTATAACTATGATTGAAACTTACGGTGAGTACGTTCCAATTCCCGTTTGAAAAGCTATAATGCTTTTGTGTATTTGTACGTGTAAGCTACAAATAAATAAAATTGTGAACTCAATGTTTAAACTATTCCTACTAATTTTCTTTTAAGTTAAAATCTTTAACAATCTCAAGTTCTGTCATTGTAATTTGTTATACCTACCTATGTCCTTTACTGTTACAAACAGTAAGGAGAGACAATGAATGTCACGTAGGTACTGAAGTGATTCTGCTAAGATTCTTAGGCGATTCTGCTAACATGGCTTGTGTAAAGTAAAGTGAACTGAAACACTAAAGTTTGATTTGTTTGACTGCATGGAGGAGTGATGCTGCCAATTGCTGGTGAGGAAACGTGAGCTCAATACCGGTGCGCCTGCCTGTGCTGACGTCGCTACAGCTACAGTTCATGACTGCGGCAAGAGCTGAGCGTCGATGGTTGGTGGCAGTAGGTGAATTGACTTCGCTTGGACTGCTATGCAAGCTTGGCTCACTGTGTTGTAGAAGCAATACATTCAATGACCAGGCTGGTGAGATCTAATCTTACTTTTATATTTAGTATTCTTTATCTGCTAATTTTTTTGATCAACAATATAGACAGCAGACCTGGTATGAAGCAGTAAGATACTAAGAATATAAAGTTTGAATTATTGAAATAAAAATGAGTAAATGTTTTACAACGGCAACTGCTTAAAAGCTAAGTCCAAGGCTCAATGCATGGGTTACCATTGGTTGTATTTAGTGTAATGTGAAGGATTAGTTTGTGAAACGTTTGTGCTTTTGAATATGTTGTACGAAGTCATGAGTATGAATACTGATCAATATCCAACATATGAATGCTGAATATGCTTATCGATTACTGTTAAAAGTTACAGTTAAAGTTAATGGGTTGATGATAAGCATATTACAGCAGCAGTAAAATTGAACCAAGTTTCAACTATAAGTTGTTGGTATCGTTTGTTACAAAGCAAAATACATTAACTGTTAACAAGTTAACTAATATTAACATTGTTTGTATTCTTATGTTATCAGGCATTATTTGTTATGTTTACACTTGAGAGAGGTCAATACATTAACAAACTTTTACTTAACTTAATGTATGTATTGCGTTTGAAGTGGCATCTTGCAACTGAATTTTGAATCACAAATCTTTAGCCGATGGAGCTGAAATTTTTTTATGTGTTCAGGTTTAGCTGTGAATTCAGCTGAAATTTTACATCTTTTATCAAAGTAATGTAATCCAAAGAATAAAGATTAAAATCAGAACAGGAGAACTGCTGTATGTTGATGAAAAACATATTTCTCTTCTAATATGCACCATTCACCACAAGTTAACAACTTGTGCAGAATTGTGAAAAATGCTACATGTTACTGCTTGAATCATATCTTAGGTAGTTGTACAGGGAAGTACTGTTGTTATAATGGAAGACAGCAGTATGTGTATGTTTCTCCTTAGCAGCGTTACCCTTGATAGAGTGTTGATGTGGTTGTTGTACTGTAGTGAAGGTAGGTTGCCAGTATGCACCTCACAGTTACTGTAATCCATAATATGTATGTCCGTTCTGCACTTGTTTAGCAAATTTGTAAATACAGACTTAATTTGGTTTGTCTACCGCATGAGTAACCTCTTGAGAGGCCGAGAGTGCTTTCTACTACCGGTGAACAAGCTGCTGTATGGATCGGTTGTTCCTCCTAGAAACGTGACTAGACTCCGTAGAGCGTCAGGATACATCATTGTATGCTGAGAGAGAGATGATGCCTAATTTGTTATCGTTTTTTGCTTAAAATTTCAAATATGTACACAACCCAGCTTTCAGTGTACTATTTCGAGTTTGTCACCTTGATATATTACTTGAGAGGTTTCATGCTGGATTTTATGAAAACTCTTCTTATTGTCAGCAACAACGATGTCCACGTATTGAACCGCTAGTGTTACTTGTGTTAGCTGACTGGCGATAAGTAACGTTTACTTGTAGCATCGTTTTACATATTGACGACATCGTTTTACATATTGACACATATAGTTACATTTCTTTTTATATGCAATTTGACATTATTAGCATAATGTGATATTGTTTTTCATTTGAAAAATTTATATTTTTTTAAACTTGACATTTACCTCTATTTTAAACAATTGTTAGTGCTAGGACCGTGCGAGACTTTTCTTTTCTTATTTCTTACTCATACTCTGACAGTTTGAGTATTTGTGCGACCCACGCAAATGTTCTTTAGGTTGGTATTGTTCGTCGAATCACTCAGCCTCATCTGTTAATTGAGCTGACTGTAAACCGACACATGCGTACTGCTTTCAGAACGGGTCCGCTCAAACTGTTGTGGTTCTTTCCTCAAAAGGCCACTACAGAGAGAACTTGAACGGTTCTCACACATAATCTTTTTATACATATTTGTCTGGACTTTAAAAGAGACAGACCTCTGAGTTTGTTTCGGCATTTCTTCTCAGAGTAGTCAGTTAGGAAATGTCGACCTCATCGTTCGCTTGATAAAATTGACGTGTAAAAGTGCTGCCTTGTAGTCTATTTGCAGAAATAAATTCACTTGTTTCACATGTGAACCATGTTGATTGCGTGATAAAAAAAAAATTGAAGTAAGTTTTACCGATGATCAATAATCATGCTGATTCGGTGATAATGTATGTGCCTTATCAATGTGTATGATTACAGGATTCCATCAAAAGAATATTTAGATGGACTAAAAGTCATAGTCAGGTGTGTCCGAGCGGATACAGAACGTCTGACAAGATCGAGTGTGGTGTGGTGTGTAGTGTGGTGAAGGCTACAGCGCTAAGTGTTACGACTGCTAATAGATGGTATACTCGTGTGGAAACGCGACACAGACTGTGGCGGAGTTTCTAGTGCTATGTGGATAGCTTCGGACTGTAGAAATGTGTCCTTCCCACACAATATGGTACGCTAACATTGTGTGATATCTGATGTGTATTGTGTGTGTAATGTGCGTGTGAATAATATGCTAACGTAGGTATTAATTATTATACATGTGTTAGAGACTCATGATATGCCAACGCCGTGCCTATGTCATGTACGTTATAGCAGAGAGCTAACGTCGTGCTTCCTCTCTGAGTATGTTTTATGATTGTGAACTATGCTAACGTCGTGCCTATGGTTCACTATTGATTGTGTTTTTTTCCTGTGTTCGTGACTCATGATACGCTAACGTCGTGCCTATGTCATGTAGTCGTTATAGCAGAGATAGCTAACGTAGTGCTTCCTCTCTGAGTATGTTTTATGATTGTGAACTATGCTAACGTCGTGCCTATGGTTCACTATTGATTGTGTTTTTTCCTGTGTTCGTGACTCATGATACACTAACGTCGTGCCTATGTCATGTAGTCGTTATAGCAGAGATAGCTAACGTAGTGCTTCCTCTCTGAGTATGTTTTATGATCGTGAACTATGCTAACGTCGTGCCTATGGTTCACTATTGATTGTGTTTTTTCCTGTGTTCGTGACTCATGATACACTAACGTCGTGCCTATGTCATGTAGTCGTTATAGCAGAGATAGCTAACGTAGTGCTTCCTCTCTGAGTATGTTTTATGATTGTGAACTATGCTAACGCCGTGCCTATGTCGTGTAGTCGTTATAGCAGAGATAGCTAACGTAGTGCTTCCTCTCTGAGTATGTTTTATGATTGTGAGCTACGCTAGCGTCTTGCCTCTAGTTCACTATTGATTACTTTACTGTGTTGGTGACTTATGATATGCTAACGTTGTGCCTGTCATGTAGTTGTTATAGTAGAGATAGCTAACGTAGTGCTTCCTCTCTGCCTGTATTTTGAATTATTATGGATCAATGTGTACATGTAGTTGTTTGTGTCGGTAACCAACGACATCCCGATGCAATTTTTATAATTTCAGGTGCAGAAGGTATTGAACTCACACGTCACGTTTTTGGTAATTGATAAGATTAACGATTTAATATGGGTCGATGTGTCTTCGGAAAAAACCGGTGTCCCGACCCAATCCTTATGTTCTCAAGTGAT